CCCAGCTACTTTTTTTTTTTTAAGAGCCTCTCACACTCTCACCCAGGCTGTAGTGAAGTGGTACAATCATAGCTCATTGCAGCCTTGACTTCCTGGGTGCAAGCAATCCTCCCACCTCTGTCTCCCGAGTAGCTGGGACCACAAGTACATGCCACAACGCCTGGCTAATGTTTGGACTTTTGTAGAGCTAGGGTCTTGCCATGTTGCCCAGGGTGGTCTCAAACTCCTGGGCTCAACTGATCCTCCTGCCTCAGTCTCTCAAACTGTTGGGATTATAAGCATGAGTCACCGCACCTGGCATTTTTGTTTTGTTTTGTTTTTTTGAGTTGGAGTCTCATTCCGTCACCCAGACTGGAGTGCAGTGGCACGCTCCCAGCCACTGCAGCCTCAACCTGCAGGGCTCCGGAGATCCTTCCGCCTCAGCCTTCTAAGTAGGTGGACCTACAGGTGTGCCCTACATGCCCGGCTAACTTTTTTTTTTTTTTTTTTTTTTACTTTATTGTGGAGATGAGGTCTCATCAAGTTGCCCAGGCAGGTCTCAAACCCGTGGGCTCAGGCAATCCACTCACCTCAGCCTCCCAAAGCGCTGGGATTACAAGCTGAGCCACCAAGACCGGCTGCCTGGCAGTTTTAAAAATAATTTTTGCTTATATTTACTTTCAATTATTTTTCCCCATCAGAAACATTTTTCAATAAGAAAAGAAACACAGCTGGGCACGGTGGCTCACACCTATAATCCTAGCACTTTGGGAGGCGAAGATGAGATGATTACCTGAGTCCGGGGGTTCGAGACCATCACGAACAACTTGGCTAGACCTCCTCTCTACAGTAAGTCAAAAAATTAGCTGGGCATGATGATGCGCACCTGTAGTTCCAGCTACTTGAAAGGCTGAGGCACAAGGATCACTTGAGCCCAGCAGGTAGAGGCAGAGGCTGCTATGACCACTGCACTCCAGCATGGGCAACAAAGTGAGACTCGGACTAAAAAAAAAAAAAAAGTTATTTTGAGTTTAAATGATTCAAAACTATGAATGTCTTTTCTTTCACATGATTAGCACATCTCTTAAAATTATTAGACAAGAGTAGAGTACCTCTGTTTGTTTTATTCAGGATTAACTCACTGGGAAAAAAAGAAAAATTTAAAAAGAAGAAAACTATTTTCCTGGGCAAGAATTGGAAGAGGAAAGAATGAAGACTTAAATGCACACATGGTGGTGATACATGGATGAAATTTATGATAAAGTAAAAGGAGTATGTTAATTGTTCTAGGAAGAAAGGGAGGCTAGCTTTGCACAAACAGTAAATGTTGGTGATGATAAAGTCCAAAGTTTCTGACTTGAAAAAAAATCTGCTATAGATTAGTCTGAGTAAGAATAGAATGTGCTTCCTTCCCAAAACTTTTCCCGAGGTATCTTCCTAATGAAATTTTCAAATGTATTGTTCCTAACTTTCCTGTAGTTTTACAAACTACCTTTTCTTAGCTGTTCCACAGGTACTTCAAAAATTTAACCTGCCCCAAAATAACTCATCATCTTCTCATCCTTATTTCTTTCTTCCTCTTCATTCCCTTTCCTGATTAACAGCAACACCATTTCCATTCCTACTCCCAATCTTAACCAAGGCCTATAAAGTCCACCTCCTGACTCTCAAACCTGTTCTCTCTTCTCATTATCTCTATCTTAATTCAGATCTTCATCATCTCCTGCAGTGATTCCAGCCAATAATGGATGTTCTCACTACAAGGATTTTCCCTCTAGCACAAACACTAGATTGTTTTTCTAAAATGCAAATGAACCATATCATTTCCCTCCTGAAAAATCCTCCCTTGAAAATATCCAAATTCTTCAATCATACAAGGCTCTTTCTAACTACAGCTCTCAATTCTCCTTACCACCCATTCAATCTAGTCATAATGAAATGCTTAATTAAGCATATTTAAATCCACCACTCTTTCACATCTCTGTACCCTTACCTTTGCCTAGGATGCTTTACCTACCCCCACCCCTAACCCCTCATTATTAAAAGCATTACAGAAGAAGCTCCTGATTGAGCATGACTTTGGAATACTGTATTTCTAAAATCCGTTACAACTCCGTGATTCTATACCTAATTACCAACCAATACCTAATTTTACCTATGCATTAAATCCCTATTCCCCAAGAACTGTAAGTAAGGGGTTTTATCTTATTTGTCTAGCACAGTGTCAGGCCCACAATCAATCGGTGAATAATGATTCCTAAATATTAGAAGTAACCTACACAAAGAAGAGGCCACAGTTTCATTCACTACTACATCCCTAGGCCCTAGAACTAACTCTGACATATGGGCACTAAATATCCTAGCGCCTGCAAACGTTCCTTTGACCTCTACCTTCATTAGTCCTCGAGGTGTGGGGAGTGGCACTGAGGGTCAGGCACGGGAAGGAGGGGCAGGTCTGTCCAGTGGACCGCTCAGAAGAGCTGGAGGTGCCAGCACAATTAAGTACGGGTGCCCAGACCAGCTCTGCAGTCAACCCTGCCGTAATTCATGGTAGAGACAACTCTTAAAAATAAGAAAATCTGTAGCGTGCAAGGCCAAGGTATGGAAACAGACACAAAAGAATCAAACAACAAAAGCTATGAAAGAAAAGGATTAAAGATGAAGAATCAAAGGTCGACAGGTTCTAGGGTTTGGTATCCCAAGGGGATAGACAAGTCTGGCCACACGTAGGGTGTCGATGGGACAAGAGCTGAAGGAAATCTGAGGGGAAGCAAACAGTGTCATCGTAAAAGGACCCCAAGGGCTTGTGGCAGCACTCACCACCTCCCCCTGCTCCGCGGACTTGTACACTCCAGACACCATCTCGTTATGGAGAAGCAAAAACAACGCCTCGTCCGCCATTTCCGGTTTATGCTTCCAAACTCCAGGTTTCGACTGCCGCTTGGCCCAGGATTGGGTTCCGGCTCGCGCCGGAGCGACTGGGCCGGCGCTGCGAGTCCCTCGGGGCGGCCCAGCTCCTTGTTGCTAGGAGACCGAGGATTCACACGGCCTTCCGATGGCCGGCACTGGAGAGGGGTACAGTCCTGGGGAGAGCCCGCCCCCAGGGCCACCAAGCCCTCCGGCCGAACGACAGAATATAACAGCGGCAGGAACCCAAATCGAACCCCGGAGACCTGATCTGGCCACTAGGTAGGGGGTGAGGAAGCAACTTCCGGTCCCCTCTACCCCAGCATTCCGCCAGCTCTATGGTCACTGAGTTCCTCTCTGAGGCCGGAGTGAGCTGCCCGCGCCCAGACTGGAGGAAGGTTCCTTTCCCGCGATATCTAGCAGGGAGGAGGATAAGATAAGACTTGAGCTCGCTTTGCCATCTCTGTAAATGAAGTGTAAAAGTTAGAAAAATTGACAAGAATTTCTGTTGGCTTCATCAAAAGCATCCAATTCCTGCCATATGTTCTTCAATATGAAAAGTTATAAAAAGAATCATCAATTTTCAGACCGTACATTTTTGCTATACTGAGAATTGGATTATCCCAATCCATATTGAATTAAGCCTGGGTACACCAAAGGATTTAGAGCTATTTTGGTCACGAGGAAGCTTACTGGGAGTGGGGTGCAAGGTACAAGGGAGGCTGTGTAAGTAAAAACAAGATATACTTGAACCAGAAAATGCAAACTAATCTCAGTATTAGGTGAATGAAAAGATGCTAAAGAATTCAGAAAAGCGATGTCACTGTGGCATGAAGTTCCTTAGACTCTACGGCAGTCATGAGATTTAACTTGCACAGAGGTGCAAATACATCATATTGTTGTACATCTTAAATTTTGTCTAACCGTATGACTTAGCCTTGAATTAGTTATTTTCTTGGCAATCCATGAAGATTTTTTTCCAATTAAATTCGTTGTTTCCCTCAGATGAACATATTGGGTTTTCCCAAATTGTTAACAATAGCCTCTCAAGTCTTCATGTCCTCTCACAAGAATTTAAGATCATGTTCCCACAATTTGATCATGGTAGGTTTTTTTTTTTTTTCTTACATGTCCCTTCTAATGTTTGGATCAGTTTATCCCATTCATCACATAAATCAAGTACATAAAAGTCCTACCTAAGCCTTTGAGAACGCTGAACAGTATAATTTATTTTTCCAGCACTAAATTTACCTACATGTGAAATCAAGTCCTTTATGTCAAGATTGTATTCTCACTCTCATCACCATTACCAAGGAACAGGAGTCCAAACCCACCACAGAGGTCAAAAGTAAGCAATTGACTGATTTATGAAGGATGACTTCTCAAACCACAATAACATGAGGTTTTTTTTGAGTCTTTTGTGGGATAGAAAGGAAACTAATATTTAAGGAGGACCTACTAAATATTAGACACAGCATCCCACTGATCCTCCTTCCTAAAACAAACTGTAAAATTGTCCAGGACCCTAGGAACAGTTCATATGGAAGCAGGAATAGATGAGGTTTTTTTCCCCCATTAATTCTAAAAGAATTTCTCCCTGGTGTGGTGGCCTGTAGTTTCAGCTATTCTGGAGGCCAAGGTGGGAGGATCCCTTGAACCCAGAATTCAAGGCAGCAGTGAGCCATGATGATGCCACTGCACCCCAGCCTGTCACAGAGTGAACCCTTGTCTCTCTAAAAGCATTTTTTTTTCTTTTTTGAGTTGGAGTCTCACTCTGTCGCCCAGACTGGAGTGTAGTGGCCGCTCCTGGCCACCGCAGCCTCGACCTGCTGGGCTCCGGCGATCCTTCCACCTCAGCCTTCCAAGTAGCCGGAATTACAGGCATACGCTACAACACCCGGCTGATTTTTTTATGTATTGTAGAGAGGAGGTCTTGCTGCCCAGGCGGGTCTCAAACCCACGGGCTCAGGCAATCCACTCATCTTAGCCTCCCAAAGGCATGGGATTACAGGCTGAGCCACCGAGCCCAGCCTAAAAGCATTTTTACAGAGACATTATTGGTGGACAGGATCTACTATTACCACACTCATGCCTTAGGTACTGCCTGAGGTTGTGCAAGACCAATCCCCCTTTTCCCCCTCCCCCACAGCCTCAGCCTCTGAGAAGCTGGGATTACAGGCGTGAACCACTGAGGTCACCCAGTGATCTTTCTTGTACACTGATGTATCCAAGTGTGTAGAAGAGCACCTGGCACATAGCACGCATTCAATAAATATTTAAGGAATGAGTGATTATTGTTCTTGCAAAAGCCTGCCAACTCCATGGAAGCAGGAACCACAGATATCTTATTCTAGGCTTTATCTTCAAAATCTAGTTTACTGCTACATAGTGGAAGCTTAAAAAGGTGTTTGGTTGAATGTGGCTTCTGCTTAAGATATTTTGCTCACTAATGATTAGTGCAAAGGAGGATGCCTGGCTGAGACTATTCATATTGTTTTCTGTTGAACATTTTTCTGAGCAAATATATTCAATTTGAATATATGTTCCTGCAATAAAACCAGTTCCTATATTGGCAGTGCAGGTAGAGCAGAACCAGAAGACCCACACACACACGGCACTAACAACAGGAATACTTCCCAGACTGTGTTAAACAACTCTAGGCCAGGTGAAGAGGCCAAAACTGGAGGCCAGGTACAGTGGCTCCTGCCTGTAATCCTAACACTTTGGGAGGCTGAGACAAGAGGAATCGTGGAGGCTAGGAGCTCAAGTCCAGTCTGGGCAACACAACAAAACCCTGTCTCTGTAAAAAGTGAAAATGAGAAAAAATAAAAAATAAGTAGGGCACTGAGGCTCCCATCTGTCATCCCAACACTTTGGGAGGCTGAGACAGGTAGATTGCTCGAGCCTCATGGAGTTCAACAACAGCCTGGACAACATAGTGAAATCTAGTATCTACAGAAAAAAAAAAAAAAGAAAGAAAGAAAGAAAAATTAGCAGGTGTGGTGGTGTGAGCCTGTAGTCCCTACTACACCAGATGCTGAGGTGGAAAGACTGCCTGAGCCCAGAAGGTCAAGGCTGCCCTGAGCCATAATGGACATGATCAGACCACTGTACTCCGGGGCTTGGGTAACAGAGTGAGACCTGAAGTAAAAATAAATAAATAAATAAATAAAATAAAGAGGTTAAATAAACCATGCCTGGCCTCCTCAGTCTCATCGTTTGTTTTTGTTTGTTTGTTTTGTTTTTTGAGTTGGAGTCTCACTCTGTAGCCCAGGCTGCAGTGCAGTGGCATGCCTGTGGCCTCCGCAGCCTCAACCTGCTGCTGGACTCAGGCGATCCTTCCGCCTTAGCCTTCTGAGTAAGTGGAACTACAGGCGTGGTCTACCACGCCCGGCTCATTTTTTTTTTTTATTTCTTGTAGAGACGAGGTCTCACCAAGTTCCCCAAGCCGGTCTCGAACCCGTGGACTCAGGAAATCCTCTCGTCTCCACCTCCCAAAATGCTGAGGTGACTGGGCCACCGCCCCAGGCTCATCATTGCTTCTTCCTTTTCGTACATCCTTAGAGCAGGCTCACCCCGTAGGATGAGTCTCAACTAGCGTGACCAAGGGAGAGTCACGCTATCTCCAGTCTCAGTCTCCTTATCAGTCACACGGGGCTTCACCCAGGTTCGGTCAGACCGACCCCTCACAATACGTTAGCTGTGATGATTCAAAACTGACTAGCCCTGTTCCCCGTTCTTCGCTTCCCCCGGCTGCCTTCGCTTTAACCTCCTCGAGGGAAGCACGCGCCCCCCCCCCCGCTCTGGGCATGCGCAACAACAGAATGGCCGCGCCCCTTCCTAATTAAATCATTAGCCAAGGTGAGGGCAAGGAGGGAAAGTAACCTCGCCTCGGCCCTACCCGGATGTGATCAGGGGTTAAAACGACCTCAGGCACGTCACATCACAGGTAAGAGGCTTGGGAAAGTCCGCGCTGTCCTCGCCACAACTGCAGGCTCGCAAGCCCACGTCTCGGAAGACCCGGGGACCCTCAAGCGCGCCCAGGCTCTGCGCTAGAAGGGGGAGTTCCGCACCCGCAGCTAATAGGGGAGGGAGGGGCCCGCCTGTCCGACTTTTCATTGGCTCAGAGTCACAAAGGCTGCGGCTTCTCCCTCTTCCGGTCGCTGAGTGGTCGAGGCCGAAAAGCAACGCGCATCGTCATTGGCGGAGCCCAGCTGTCAGTCTTCTCGCGTCTCGCGGCGCGGCATAGCACGGCGCGGCCTGGAGAGCAGTCTCGAAGCCTGCTGCGGGGAGAAGATGGCGGTCGCAGTGAGAACTTTGCAGGAGCAGCTAGAGAAGGCCAAAGAGAGCCTCAAGAATGTGGACGAGAATATTCGCAAGCTCACCGGGCGGGATCCGAATGACGTGAGGTAAGGGCCCGACGGGCACCGCGAGCTCGGATCGGCCGCCCCTCAGGTCCGGGTGAATTGAGGGCGGGGAGGGCGGCCGGCCCAGAGAAGACTGACTCTCGGGGCCTGTTCCCGGGGCCGCTGTGGAAACCTGTTCTCTGTGAGATCGGGGAGGCCGGGCTCAGGTGCCGGAGGAAGGAGAGCCAGAGCTGGGCACGCCGGCACGGCTTGCCGGCCTGTGGGAAGGCCGGGACTGCCGATTCTCGTCCTCGGCCCTGCAGGCCCGGAACTGCAGCACAAAGCCCCTTCCCGCGCCGGCAGCCACGGTCTCGGGCCCGGCCCGGGGACTCCGCCGGGACGCGAACCGCCGCCTCGTCCCCGGCCTTTTGCCCACGTGCAGCTTCCGGGGGGTGGCGGGACGGGGACCCCATTCGGGCTTGTTAACATGCCGTGGCCTCGAGGGAGACGTGATTTCTGTGCTGTGGCTTTTGGAAAACCGAGGAAGTTGAATGAAATCGTACTTCCTTGCTCTGCTGCAGACACGTGGATCTGAAACTGTCGTCTTAGAACTTTTGTTTTCTCTTGGTGGTGCGCCACTTCCCTAAAAGTAGTTGGTGCCATTACATGGGTCTACGTGGGATATTTATGCTGATTTGTCCATCTCTTCTAGGCCCATCCAAGCCAGATTGCTGGCCCTTTCTGGTCCTGGTGGAGGTAGAGGACGTGGTAGTTTATTGCTGAGGTAAGATTTCCTTAAGACTTAACTGCCTACTAAAACTGTGGGGACTATGTACGCTCAGTGGATATATTGATTTGGGCAAAATTCGTGATCGAGCCA